GAGTGGATGGGATTAAATAGCATGAAAAGTCACTCTTTTCTGTACCCCCAGATCTTGAAAATAGGTTGTCAACCTCATTTTTGGTATTCCGTAGTCACTGTGGTTATATTTTCAAGATATCTATTTAATATATGTTTCATATTTAGATGGGTAATTTAAGTACTAAGACTTCTGTGGATTGTTTTGTAGAAGTAGAGACATATTTTATTTTGGGGGATATTTTTAAAATAGATTTTTAAATAAATAAACAAAACTTGGTATAGAAAGCTGATGTTAGGGAAACTCTGAAAGTTAGGTCTTATAAAGATCTTGGTTGCTGAATACATGAGAGGCACAGATGGATTATTACAAAAAGTAACACATACAAACAAGAAATGAAAAACTATGATGGATTATTCCAAAGATTTATTTTTGGTGTAACAGTGGCTAGAAATACTGTAAATCCTCCCTGTAGATGTGCACACACACACACACACAACGTGCACCCATCACATAATGAAGCTGGAAGCAGGCTGGGTGGTGACTGCCGTCCAGAATCCCTCATTTTGATGGGATCAAGCATCCCTTTTAATATGATTTCACGGAAATTTTATGTTGCTTTATTTTTCTGAGATAAAAGGTAGCGGATTATTGTTCAAGAAGGATTGTCATACCCTAAGCTCCTTTAAACCAGAATGTTTTATCCATTTCCCTGAATGGAATTTCACAGCTGCCGTGTACTGGCACAGGCTGCAGAAGAGAAGCCAGGCCAGCTGCCCCCGCCAGATATTGTTCTCACCATACATAATGCACTTAGCTGGGTTTTGTGCACCCATTTTAATGTCTTTTCACAGTACTTACCCAAGTGCCTCCTGTGGAGATGTCATAATGTGAATTATGAACGTATTGTCACAGCGATGCATGCTGTGGATTGGGTGTAGCTTGTCTAATAGTTTCAAGGAAACCTAATGCCTGCCTAATACTGAAAGATTGGTAAGCATCCAAAAACAATAGGAGCACCACGATTAAGAAAATGAAAGAACTAAGGGAATTAAGAAAAATAAGAAAATGCATAAAACACCAGGAGAAACGCTGAATGACATCAAGGTCATAATCATGGCTCTAGAAAGTCAAAAGCACTGAGGAAAAATTTATGAGCTACAAAATGAGATCAGTTGCAAGGGAAACTTCCAGAGGAAAGTCAGTGTAGTTAAAATTTTTATTCTTACTTGGTTTTCGCCTATTACAGTCTTAGCTCATAAATGGGTTCGGTAATATTCCACAGGGAAAGTCATGTACTTTTAATCCAGAAGTGAAATACTGACATGTTAAGCATTTCATAGTTTAACTTCATTCTAAAGTGTTAAAAAAAACATTTGACATCATCTGTATAAGATTTATGAATTTTGAACAAATTTGTGCAAGACTTTGTCCAAAGCCTCTTGGTCCCCTCAAAGGCATTTATCCATAGTGCAATGTATGGGCTGCAGTATTTCTCTTTAAAGCCATCAGAAAAGTTAACTCTAAAGTGGATAAGGAATGTGTATTAAAATCTCTTTAACATATTAAAGAATTGTACTTCTGAATACAGAATATCAATGCTATATGCATGTTGATACTGAAAAAAAGGTCATACAGAGTGTAAGGAGATGTACAAGTTTAAAATTAAATGCTAAACTTTGAAGAAACAAAACGTCAGTATTTTCCCCTTCTTTCCTCCTGTCTTCTTTCTTCTACTTTCTTCTTTCTTTCATTTTATCGCTAATCCATAAGTCATAAACTTTTCTTGGAGGGCAGAAAATAAAACACATTTACATGAAGTCTTGAATATTTTCAACATGTGCTTAATGCCTTTTTAAAAAAATCTGTTGTCTTTGCTATCATGGTAGCAGGATGAGAGCAGAATGCTGTGATAGATTTGAGTTTTCTCACAGTCCTCTCTGTGTCTGAATATTGATCTGCATTTTATAAAGTACTAAAAAGTTAGGAACTCACATCACTCAGTGGATCAGATGAGAGTATATTATCTTTGATACTATTGATTTTCTGTGCTTCATTTATGTTTTAAAGTATGTCTTCGACAGAGTCGGGGAAAAAAGGCCTTGATTGAGCAGGCTTCCCAAACATATTTATATGCTTCCTGTTTGGGCATTGAAGCTTCGTTTTATGGTGTCTTCTTGTCCTTCTCCGTTAATTCATCTTATTTAAATGCACGATGTAAAAGTGAAGAAGCCAAAGATTTGAATTGTCCTGCATGCGACCCTGCACGTGTGTGAGGACAGTTGTTTGGCTTTTGTTTACTTTTAGACATAAGTGAAAGAGCGCAAGATATTTCTACGAAGAGAGTTAAGAGTTTGGGTCTTCAGACTCGCTGCCTTTGAATATCCCGCCAGCCCCTGATAGGCTGATGAGGATCAGAATTTGTACCTGAAATAGGATCAGGGTTTCCTTTGACCCACTTCTGCCTGTCAGTTTCCAAGAACAATCAGCTGAGCCCCAGAAGTGAATGTTACCAAGACTGACATCTTTGTTTATTGTCTTTCTCTGAAGGAATGAAATCAATTTATTTAAGAAGTCTGCCCTTGAGGTGAATCAACTAAATTTCAGTTACGGGAATCACTAGCACTTGCTAGTAATTCTTTTGTACTTTTCAGCTTCAGAATTTCTTTTTGGTTTCTTTTTTGGTTTTCTATCTCTTTATGGATATTTTCGTTTTGTTCATACATTGCTTTCTTGACTTCCTCCACATCTTCCTTTCAGGCATCTTTAAGACAGTTCCTTTAAAGTGTTTGCCTAATAGATTAGCCATCGGGTCTTTCCCAGGGACAGTTTCTGTTGATTTTTTTTTTCCTTTGAATGAGCCATACTTTCCTGTTCCATTGTATGCTTTGTGAATTTTTCTTCACAACTGGACATTTGAATCTAAGAAAGTGTTAACTCTGGAAATCAGATTCTTCCGCCTTTCCCCAGGGTTTGCTGCTTTTTGTTGTCATTTTTGTTTGTTGTTTTTGGTTTGGGGTTGTTGTAGGCTGTCTCTGTGCCCGGGATCAACCCGAGGTGTAATACTGAGGTCTTTTCAAGTCTTTTTCTGAGCTTCTCCCTGGCCATGCATGGCCACTTTCAAATTTTCCCCATATGTGTAGTTGATTCTGAATGTCCTGTCTTTAATATCTGGCTCCCAAATGTGGAAAAAGGAAAAATAAAGAGAGATGGGATAAAAAGGGCACTAACTCTTTAAATCACTTGGAAGTTACTTAAGCTGGAGGGAGAAAGGCTTGCGACAGTGGCAGAAAGTGCAAAATTAACTACTGCACCTTTGTCTGTGCCTCTGTGATGAGAACTACCAGTCAATGATCAGAACACAGACCCGTGTGGTTTGGAGGACAGAATCCTTTTCGCCTACCCTCGCCCCTGCAGGCTGCTTCAGGAACTGGCGTATAGCTGCCTGCCACATGGCTGAGGGGTGGAGGACGGGTAGCTACTACTGTCCTAAGTGCTAAAGTTGACTGAGATTAATCACAATTTACAGTCTGAGCCTTCCCCCTGAAAGTTGCAAGCCTTCAGCAGAGCCCAGAATTCCAAAACAGCTGTCAGACAGATTCTGCCGGCACAATTGTTGTCTGTATGGGGAGACAGATTCCTGATTTTCTCAACTCTGCCGTTGTCCCAGGGTCCTCTCTGTAAATGAATTTTTACATGATGAATTATTCTTTACATTTTATGTTCTTTAATTGATGAATTTCTGTTATGTAAGGGAAAGCTTTAGAAATCTGAGCTTTGATAGATTTGGAGAAGGATAACTGAATACCAACTATGAGTCTCAAGCAAAGAATAAACAAACAATAGCAACAAAAATTTAAAGGATGGATAGGAAGAATCGGGAGGTCATGTTGCTTCACTTGATTTGCAGTTCTGTCCTTTTATATTTACCACACATTCTGATAGGCAGCCATGGTTTTCATTAACAAAAATTATAGTAAAAGAAATAAATCAGTGCTTATTAAATGAGATTTAGTAGACCAAAAATATGTTTAAAATATAGAAACAAAGGTTAGAAATAGCAAAGGTGTAAACTGATAATGAAAGGACTGGGAGTCACTGTTCTAGAACTTCTGTGAGTCTTAAAGAATTTTCTAACAGTTCAAAAATACCGATCATATTACGTACTAAGATTCAGTTACCTGCTCTACATAATTTTAGATCTCCTCTAAACACCTGAGCTTTCATCAAAGATTACAGAATTTCAGAACAAGAGAAGACTTTAGAAATAAGTTTTATTTGGTTGATTGACTTTGGGTTGGATAATTATTACTTTAGAAATTTAATTTCTCCTTTTCCCTAACTCTCTGAAAATGGATATTACAGTGGAGAGCATCTTAGTAAAAGTCAGAGAAAATGATACAGGTCTGTGGAAAGGTGGGATCTTTTCAGATGCTGTGTCTTCCCTTTAGACAGTGAGAAAACTCTGTGAGGGTCATTTAGCATCCATTTGTTACACTTTTATAGAGTATTTCAGTTTAAAACAGATTTTGAAAATTATCCTTTGAAGTCATGCACAGACTTTCTGAAAATGCCTGTGTAGCCCATCAAAAGATGCCTGATACTCTTGAATTTAAATTTTCCAAGAGAATGTGAGAGAGATTTCAAAAAGTAATCAGTTTTTCCATAGGTAACGGTGCCAGTGGTTCAATGAGAAAAATCAAAGTTAAATTTATGATATAGTTAATTAGAGTTTTAGATTTTCCACAGTGCTTTTAGAATAAAGACTATTAATTTTGCTTTATTTAATAGAATGAAGACCACTGAACTACAAATTAAAGCACAATTATAAATGTGTTTTTGATCATTAATACTATGGATTTTTCATTTGCCCAAATAAAGAGCATCTAACTTCTAAAATTGGTGTTTGGGAAAGAAGAGTTGTACAGAAAGTAAAAACAAAAATCCACTGGTACTTTATTAGGAATATAAATATTCTGTCTACTGAGAACGCACACATGACAGCTGTGCTGTTCTTCCAGCCTCAACAGATGACAGTGCAGCTGAGAAGAAAGGCGGGAACCTCCATGCCGGGCTCATTGTTGGAATCCTCATCCTGGTCCTCATTATAGCTGCCGCCATCCTCGTGACAGTCTACATGTACCATCATCCAACGTCAGCAGCCAGCATCTTCTTCATTGAGGTGAGTGTCAAGGAGAGCACATAAAAACCACGCTCGTCCGTGAACTCAAGCCATTTGCTGGCACCATCTGTATTTAATATGT